AGTTTCAGCTAACATTGGCCAATGGTAAAGGACTGTGGGAGCAGTAGTTCAACTTATCTGGAAAGCCAAAGATTCCCCATTGCTGGTCTAACCTATGCCACAGTAACACATTTTCATTCAAAGGGGACATTTAAATACCACAAATTATGATAATAGTATCATTTTAATTCCACAGCATGATCAATTCATCATAAACAATATATACCATTCTTATTACATGTTCTCCTACTTCCTACTGATCTTCTTTTGCTTACATATCCAGGGGTAGCCATGTTGGCCATATAGCAAAGTACAATAACATCTAAAATCCATAAAACAGTGATACTTGTATTGGGTCAACAAAACTTAGAGCTAATTGTCACAACTAGTGGTAGATGTGGTCTTCTCTGAGCTCCAGATGTGAAGGATGTGCTTTATTGCTAAAGCACATGCTTTGCATGCAGAAGGTCCCAGGTTCAATCCCTGGAATCTCCAAAAGGGTTGGAAAAGACTCCTGCTTTGAAAACCTGGAGAGTCGTTGCTAGATAATGTAGATCAAAGAAACACATGGTCCTCCAGATAATTTGCAATGCAACTCTTGTCAGACCCAACCAGCATAACCTGTGGTGAGAGATGAAGTGAACTGAAGTTCAGCAACATGGGGAGTCCTACATTTTTCTCTACCTCAATGTGTAACAGTTGTTCTCAGTCTTTGGTCTTCCAGCTATTTTCGTCTGTGAATCCCAGAATCCTTGGTCAATGGCAACACCAACTAGAGTTTTCTGAGATCTAAAGTTCAAAAAAACCTGGATGACCAAAAGCAGAACACCTATGAAGCAGAACACCGCTAGATGTTTTGATTGGGAGTTCCTGCATGGCAGGGGGTTGGACTGCATGGCCCTTGTGGTCTCTTTCAACTCTATGATTCTATGATTCTATGATTCTAGATAGGACAATGGGACATCTCGATGCAAATGCCAAACACAGAGAAAGTATATTGAAAATTAACTTTACTCTATATGTATTTGGTTGTGTGTTTTTTAAAATGCCATGTGGCATGCAGAAGGTAAAGTCCTGCAGGTATCATCAGACTTTTTGCATTTGCATGGGGTGTGTGTGACAGCAACAAGAGTGCAGCAATT